TCATCTTTTCACAATCTATTGTTAAAGCAATCATCAACCCAGCTATACACGAAGATCTAAAGAAATCATCCTACAGTCAGTCATTCCTCTCCCTTATCAATTCAACCATTCACCATCATAACAGAATTTGATGATGTGCTTAATAACATCAAAGGTCAGAGAATGAGCTTTAAGAAAGTCTGAAAAATGAGGTGGGTGTTAAGGCACAGCTGGTTAAGCAGTCACTTGGGATACCTACATCCTATATCAGAGTTTTGAGTCCTGGCTACTCCACTTCCAATCCAAGCCCCTGCTAAGGCACCTGGGAGGCAGCAGGTGATGACTAAAGTTCCTGTGACCCAGTTGGGAAACCCAAATGGAATTCCTGGCTCCTGGCTTCAACTTTGCCCTAGCCTCAGCTGCTGCAGCCATCTGGGAAGCAAACCAACAGATGGAAGATCTCTCTCTCTCTCTCTGCCACCCTGCCTAAAGTTCATGGAAAATGGAATTAACAAGTAAGTTTTGGTGCAATAATTTTTTGAAATTCATGTATATCATAGGGTCTTCAAAAAGCTCATGAAAATTGTGTATTTTTATTTAAAAAAAAACTGCAAGCATTTTTCAAAATGGTTTGGTACCAAGGTAAACTTATCTTTTACTTCCATCCTCCCACGAACATTTTTGAAATCACCCATATTCTAATTATTCAAATATGCTTTCAAAGTACATCTTTTTTTTACAGCTGAAGAAGCCAGGACTCAGAGAAGCTTAAGAACTGTCCCAAATTTACACATCTTTGCATCATAAATGCTTCCTTTCTACTTCAGCAAATTTCTCTCTCTCTTTTTTTTTTTTTTTTTTTTTTTGACAGGCAGTGAGAGAGACAGAAAGGTCTTCCTTTTCCGCTGGTTCACCCTCCAATGGCCGTTGCGGCTGGCGCACCGCGCCGATCCGAAGCCAGGAGCCAGGTGCTTTTCCTGGTCTCCCATGCGGGTGCAGGGCCATCCTTCACTGCCTTCCCCAGCCACAACAGAGAGCTGGATTGGAAGAGGGGCAACCGGGACAGAATCTGGCGCCAGGACCGGGACTAGAACCTGGTGTGCCAGCGCCGCAGGCCGAGGATTAGCCTAGTGAGCCACGGCGCTGGCCCAGCAAATTTCTCTCAAATCCAGCCCCTTCTTTGTTGCCTCCACTGTCATTGCCTTGCTTCAGAGCCTTGCTAGATCTTCATAAGGGCTCCTAACATTTCTTTATCCCAATCTGGCCTTTAAACTGACAACACAATGATATTCCCCCCAAACAAACAAAAACAGAGACAGAAGGAGGGAGAAAGAGGGGGAAACAGAGAGGGAGAGGGGAAGAGTGGAAGGAGGAGAGGGAGAGAGGGAACACCTCAGCCTGTCCATTCTTTCCTTCTAGATCCCATTACCAGGGAGCAAAACTCATATGCCTCCATTCACAACCAGACCCCAACCACTGTAGGACTTCAGCCAGCTCAACTGATGTCACTTTGTCAGTAAACTCTGCGCTTTAGTGTTTGGTAGGACTGTTTGTTGTGTCCCACACCTCTAAAGATCTCTGGCAAATTATCAGTCGTCTATTGTTCAAATTCAACTGTTATTATTCTGTAAAGCCCTTTTGGTCTCATTCAGACAGAATTAATGCACCCTTCCTCTGGATGTCCCATATTACTTTGTTCTGTTCATTCACAGGACAGTGTTTACTGTCTGTCCCACCTATAAAACCGAACTTCTAGATTATACATTCATGTTTTTGTCCCAGATTAAGAGTACATCCCTCAACTTGTGTTTGCTGGAAAATGAATTTTCTATATTATTCCTTACTTTAGAACTTTGCAATAAAGTGTGATGACATGCAATTTGGTGTTTTTAAAAAATGCGGTTTAGTAAACTGATTTCTTTCCAATTTGTATTTCCAAAAAATCTTGGCACATTTAGACTTTAAGGAATCTTTAACATTTTAATCCACAACAGTTCTCTATAGACTTCAGGAGGATAGGGCTTACCTGTTTCTTTGTGCCCTACAACACACAACAAACGCCCAATATTTGCTGAGAGCTACTTTGGTTTAACCTAAAACTAACACCTTATTGGAACAGATAGTAACCAAAGAATATTCTTTAAAAAAAAAAAAAGATGAAACCTAGGTAAGTCACAAACTCTTTAGACGAAAGAACAGATCAGGTTAAGTCATAAACTCTTTAGATGAAAGAACAGATAGGTTAGATGAGTAATTCCCTATACATCTTAAGGTACCAGCTGTAAGACTCCATGAGTATTGTTAGGAAACTGGCACAGTTTTATCTATGGCGCGATCTATACCCTGATTTACATCCCCAAGCTCTAGCCCCCGCCGCCACCGCCATTGCTGGAAGCTAGGTGGCCACATGGCTCAACCTCTGTTGTGAAGCTCCACCCCCATTCTAAAGGGATTTGCTACTCCGGGCTTCCCTGTCCGCCCTCAGGCAAGGTTTTAAAAGGGCCTGTTCCTGCACCTGTGTCTCTGTTGGCTCTTTTGGCTCTTTCTGCTCTATCTTCTCTCCTCACTAGCTCCTCTCCTTCCTCTGTCTCTCTCTCTCTTACACTCTTTTTCCTTTGCTGCCCCATCCCTCCAGTCTGTTGGGTGTTCCCCAATAAACCTTTTCCCTTACTCCGGCGTTCGGTGTGTTTTGTGACGGCTAACATTAATATATAACAAGCATCATACACGAGTGTAATTACTTTATGATGTCTTTTTGGTATATTATTAGCTATTCGATTATCTTTAAATCAACAAACCTTTTATTTGAGAAAGAAGCCTAATGGTTGTGGAGAGAACATCATCCATCATCTTAAACACAATAATCATAACATTCCTTTTCTCAGTTTAGATCACAGACTCTTAGAGATGGAAAGGAACATGAAGGTTTTAACTTTCTACCCAATCAACAATCGTGGCTTGCTACACAATCCATGACAGATAGTTTTTGAACCTCTAACTGAACACTCAATTCTCTTACATTCTAATTATTTTTAAGAAGTAGTTTTTGTGTTTTTAGGTAGATGCTGGAAAATAATACACATAAGGCTTTAAAATGGCTATTTAAGTAGGAGCTCCTGAAGAAAAGTGTTAGATCGTGTTTTTTCTCCAATTTTTCAACCACTGGTAAAAATAATGCTCAAATTTTCAAACTACCTTAAAGATAAAAAGCACACCACAATCACGTTCAATCTTGGGCCAATTAAATACAACTGTACTAATTTAGTGACTAATTTCTTCAACTTTCACATCCACAGAATTAATGTAAAGGTGTAACAGTTGTGTTCGACTCAGGAGAGTGCCGCGGAATGTTCACTCTCAAAAAGCATTTAATTATTAAACATTTCCTTTTCTCCAAATCATGGTTCTCCTCTTTAAACAAGTATTGCAGCTTCATTAAAGAAAGGCTACCATTTGTAAAGACTTTAATACTATTTCAAAGGTTAGACTGAAATCTGTCCAAACCTAATGTCCACGAGTAAAACAACTTGTGATCACTCACACAGAAGACTGATGTTGCTAGTCACATAAGTTATTTCTAAGCTCCTCAAACTGGTCCTCAATCAAGAGAAGAACCCATTATAAAAACTACAAGCTCTCTGAGAGACTATCGGGGTTCACCTTTGCTTGTACTGAAGTCATTACAAATGGTCTTTTCCCAGGTGCTTCTCACCATCTCATTTCCCACCCTCCCCTCCTCGACAAAACAGCAAAGGTTAAAAAAAACTTGAGTGTAGTCCATATTAGTCATTGAAAATCTTTCCTCTTGTAAACACTTCCTAGTAGGATAACAAGATACAGTGCTCAAAGATGACTGGTGCAACCTATGATGTTCAAAACAAAAAACAAAACAAAAAACCCTCAAAATAAAAAAGCACGGCAACACCAAACTCTCCTGCAGCCTAAATGTATTACACAACAGCCCCCATTCCAGATGTTAATCCCCATCTGTGGTGCAGGGATAAAATACAAACGACATGGGTATAATGCATTCCGCGCTTACACATTTGCGAGCAGTCAACAAATTAAAAGAGGAATTACCAGTCAGGAACCTTGAAAATGACAAACTGTGTAACAGTTCCGACAGAATCACAATTAAAACTTTTCCTTTGGGTAATCTTTTAGCAACATGTCCCTCTCATCCACAAATCCTCACACATGAGCGTATTAATTTGGGTTTTGGGAGGGTCTCCCAAAGGGGGAACGGGACCTGCATCAGGTGGTTATCTTAGGATCCATTCCTTGTCAGGCATCAACACCAACATCAACATTTCCAAAAGCTGAAAGGAGAGGACAACAATGGGAGTAAATGTAACCCAGACCCAGACCATCCAGGGCTCAAGGCTTCACCCTTCCATCTCTAGAGGCAGGGGCCCCTGAAAAGCTTCATAACGGTCAGATTAAAAAAGAGAGAGAGAGAACAAAACTGCAACGACCTGATTCTAGAGGAGGGAGAATCTGTACAGTACACCGATTCCAAAAGTAGTTACGGGAACGCTCAGAGCATCTCTGTGGGGACCACCTGCTTGGCTGGTCCCGAGGCTTAAGTTCCACACCTCATCAGGTCCACCTTCCACGCCTTCAGGGTACTCAGCGAAAACCCACGGCCACCGGGTGGGCAAAGAGAGAGGAGGGGCTCTGCAGGCGGTAACTACGAGGTGGAAGGCAACTGAAGCGATCGGGGAAGGAGAAGCAGGCATTCCCTCACACAAAATGGTGACGCTGACGCGCAGGCCGGCGCACCTGGGGGCGCCACACGCCTCGGCGGGCCCCTGCTGGCCGCCGCCAGCTGGACGCGCGCCCCAGGCCCGTAGGGCCCGCGGGGGCCTGCGCGGCCCGAGCCTGCAGGGGCCTCCTGCCGCCGGCCATCCGCGTCTTCGCCCGGGGGAGGCCGCCAGGACGAAGCCAGCGGCGGCCAGATCCCGGACGCAGCACCGTGGGCCTGACACCGCGGCCCCCGCCAGGACGCACAGCGCACTCACCTCGGACGCGCCCCGTGAGCAGACGAAGCTCGGGAAAGGAGGCGGAGCCGCGCGAATGAATGGAGCCGGCGGCTGCGGGCTGGCGACCTCCGGCCTGTCCCCGGCGGCGCCGTTCGCGGCTGCCTGGCGCGTGCGGCCGCCTCCCCCTCGTCCTGGACGCCGGGTTCCTGGTTGCGGGTCGGCCGCAGCCCACCGTGCCCTCCGCCGGCGTGACGCACTCGCGCCGCAGCGCCTCCAGCCTTTGCAGCCGCGCCGCGCCCGCGCCCACCGCGAATCCCCCCGCCCGCGCCGTGCGGCCCCTCCTTGGCGCCGGGGACGCCGCCCTGCCTCGCTCCGGGCCCGGCCGCAGGCGCCTGCCGGGCAGGTACGCGTTCGGCCAGCCACGGGGCGCCACTCGTGCCCCCTCTCGCTGTCGCGACCGCCGTCACCAGGCAGCGCGACGCCTAGCTCAGGGCTACTGCCCGGTATTAAAGAGTGACCTTGGCTTAGCTATAAAAATAGATGCGGATAAGCCGCGGGGGCTACGACTCTGAATTTGCTTATTCCTTTAATGTCAACGTTCGCAGAATCCCATTTGCACATCCCCTGATCAGGATCTCAGCCCGGATCAGGCCTTCCTGATGTTTACCCAGGGCGGGCGCGGCCATGCTCCCCTCTCCTGGGGACAGGGATGCTCCCAGGGAGCAGGTGAGGACTGCGAGTCCCCGCCCTACCACGCTTCTGAAAGCTGTGCCACCTTAGCAAGGCTGGGCTCAATGCACAATCTGGAGAGGCCCTACACCCCGCCTTTCATCTTGACCTTTCCTTTGCAGAATGTAATCAAAGTAACCCAGATCCAGAAGACCCAAGGACTCCTCCCCACTTGCCTCTGCTTTCCCCCCAACTCACTTCGTCCGCCTCATAGTCCAGCGCAGAATACACTGCCCCTGAAGAAATCCAAGCTCTCAACATTTATTAAAAGTATGGTATCTTTTTCTTGAACTAATGAATGCAAGAGCTTACATGTATTTATTTAAGTATTGAGAAACAGTGTTGTAATTAAATATTCTTAAGACAGAGCGAGGACTGGCTGAGAAGGACCTCCTCCTGCACAGCTGTGCAAACACCTCTGCCCAGACAGCCATGGAATCAGTGAGTCTCTTGCCCAGTGCTCCAGCAGGGTCAACCTGTGGATGAAAGTGATGCAGGGAAGCCATGCCATAATGTCCTTGTTCTGTGGCTTCCACATACACCTGGGCATTGCACGAGGTCCTATACCAGAGGAGGGCTTAAGAAAAGGCTGAAATCCTGCCCAGGCTGTGCTTTCCTACCCAGTGCCTTTATGTTTTATCAGCCATAGGAGGGATGGCTTTTTGTAATTTGTCTTCCCTGAGGGAGAGCCTTTTTTCTCTTAAAAGTCCCCTTTACACTAAGGTGACCCTCATTATGTTAGGTCAGGTAACTTTAACTTTAGGAGTGGATCCCACATAATTTGGGATCATATTTAGGCACAAGACATAACTCCTTTTAATTGAAAACTAATTTCAGTGCATTATTTTTGTTTTGGTGACATATCCCACACATTGGGGACACTATTAAGATTAATAACCAATACATTAATAGTACTTACACCTGTAAATAAGTTCTAAAGTTAGGCAGGCATTGTAATCCCACCCCCAACACACCTATTTATCCTCTACCCACCCCTCAAAGCCCTACAGTTCCTCTAGCTTCACTTACTGATTTAGAAAATTATTGCAAAGCAGAATGCATCAACATTACTGCTTGGCTTTCTGAGTTTTATGTGTCATTGTTGTAAAGCATGTTAAATGTCAGCTTAGTTACCACACCAAGCAATTAGATGAACAGCTAAAGTCTTTCCTATAGATAACGTTGGCATGAAAAAGGATTTCAAGGTTAAAATTTGCATATAGAAACAACAGACTCTTTAATCAAGAAAACTATAAAGCAAATTGAAAAAAAAAAAAAACAAACACAAACCTCTGAGTGCTCAAGCTTGAATAGGAAAATGAAAAATAGCAAGAGAAATACTTGGATTCTTTTATATTGGAAAGGAGCAAAAAAGACCAGAACAGAGATGAGTTTTCAACACAAAGGTCCGTGGATCCCACTGGGAAAGGCATGTCCTGCTAAGGCTGAGAGAAAGGACAGTCTTCTGCTTCCCCCACATCAAACCTGAAACAATATACAATGTTCCATTTTTTCAGCCTGGCCTTGGTGTGAAAATGCCACAGTAGAATTAAAATTAGAGCTGGGGTGGGGATTGGTGGAAAGAGGCCTTCAGTGTGGGGTCAGCTTCCTTGTGCTCTTTGTTGCAGTGGCTCTCTGGCTTCCACCCTTGGTAGAGTCCAGTGAGATCTAGAATGGGACCAAAGAATCTGTTTTTTCATTAAAAAAGATTTACTCATGTATTTGAAAGGCAGAGATAGAGAGAAGGGGAGAGAGAGGGAGAGATCTTCCATCCGCTAGTTCACTCCCAAAATAGCTCCAATGGCTGGGGCTGGGCCAGGTGGAAGCCAGGAGCCGGGAGCATCTTCTGGGTCTCCCCACCTGGGCGCAGGGGCCCAAGCACTTGGGCCATCTTCCACTGCTTTCCCAGGTGCAGTAGCAGGGAGTTGCATTGGAAACAGAGCAGCCAGGAATTGAACCGGCACACATATAGGATGCCTGCACTGCAGCAGAGGCTTAGCCCTCTATACCACAGCTCTGGCCCCAGAATCTGTGTTTTAATAAGCACTGTGGGCATTATCTTTAACAAAGTTCTGTGGCTAGTGAGAGACTAAGAAAGAAGGTTGCAGGCTGCGGCCGTGGCTCACTAGTCTAATCCTCCGCCTGCAGCGCCGGTACCCTGGGTTCTATTCCCGGTCGGGGCGCTGGATTCTGTCCTGGTTGCTCCTCTTCCAGTCCAGCTCTCTGCTGTGGCCCAGGAAGGCAGTGGAGGATGGCCCAAGTGCTCGGGCCTTGCACTCGCATGGGAAACCAGGAGGAAGCACCTGGTTCCTGGCTTCCGATCAGCGCATCGTGCTGGCCTTGGCAGTCATTTGGGGGGGTGAACCAATGGAAAGGAAGACCTTTCTCTCTGTCTCTCTCTCTCACTGTCTATAACTCTCTCTCTGTCTCTCTCACTGTCTAACTCTGCCTGGCAAAAAAAAAAAAAAAAGTTTGTATGTCTTTTGCAAAGTGAAGGAATTTAAACCTCCAATTTCCCTTTTATATTAAGGTATGAGGAATCTTCAAAAAGTTCGTGGAAATGTATATTGTGAAAAACTATGCACAGATTTCATTTTTTAAAAGGATTTGTTTATTTACTTGAAAGAGTTACACACAGAGAAGGAGAGGCAGAGAGAGAGAGAGAGAGGTCTTCTATCCGCTGGTTCACTCCCCAGTTGGCCACAATGGCTGGAGCTGCACTGACCCAAAGCCAGGAGCCAGGAGCTTCTTCTGGGTCTCCCACGTGAGTGCAGGGGCCCAAGGACTTGGGCCATCTTCTACTGCTTTCCCAGGCCATAGCAGAGAGCTGGATCAGAAGTGGAGCAGCTGGGACTCAAACTGGTGCACATATGGGATACCGGCACTGCAGGCAGCGGCTTTACCCACTATGCCACAGCATCGGCCCCTCACTTTTTTTTTAAAAGATTTATTTTATTTCTTTGAAAGACAGTGTTACAGAAAGAGATAGAGACAGAGAGAGAGAGGTCTTGCATCTGCTGGTTCACTCCCAAGATGGCTACAACGGCCAGAGCTGCACTGATCCGAAGCCAGGAGCCAGGAGCTTCTTCTGAGTCTCCCACGTGGATACAGGGGCCCAAGGACTTGGTCCATCTTCCACTGCTTTCCCAGGCCATAGCAGAGCTGGATTGGAAGAGGAGCATCTGGGACTAGAACTGGCACCCATTTGGGTCTGGTGCTTCACAGTGCTGGCCCCCAGATTTCATTTTTTTACACCCAGACTAGGCTTATCTTTTATTTTCTATAAACTTTTTGGTGTGGTCTTACATAAAATTTATAGGAAAGTACGTAAAGTCTCTAGTATTATGTCCACATTCAATAAGCTCTTAAGATGTAGACACCTAGATAACTACCATGGACTGAATGTGTGTCCTTCAAATTCATATGTTGAAACATTTTTATACAATATCCTTGATGTTTCTACCAAAAAAGTTTATATTTTTATCTTTTTTAAAATTTCTTTTAGTTATTTTGTGCACACACACACACACACACACACACACTGGATTGCAGAGAGCTCCCATATGCTGTTTCACTCCCCATATTCCCAGAACAGCCTAGATTTGAACCTAGGTACTCCAACATGTAAGGGATGTGAGCATCCCAGCTGATGACGTAACCAGTAGGCCAAATGCCCACTCATTTTCATTTTTGATGGAAATTATATTGAATCTGTAGATCAATTTGAGTAGTGTTGTTTATTACAATATTAAGTCTTCCCATGCATGAACGCTGCATGTTTTTCCATTGATTTAGATCTATTTCTATCTCTCTCTTTTTTTTTTTTTTAGATAAAAAGACTGAGAGCACTCCCATTGGCCTGTTCACACCCCAAATACACACAATGGTTCCTGTCTGGTACCATTAATTATTTTTGCTGTGAGTTTTCATAAATGACCTTTATCAGATGAAGAAATTCCCTTCTATTACATTTGGTGAGTGTTTTTATCATGAAACAATGTTGCATTTTGTCAAATGTTTTTCCTTTGTCTATTGAGATGACCTATAGTTTTCTTTTACTCTATTAATATGGTGTATTACAATGATTAACTTTTGTATGTTGAACAAGCCTTGCATTCGTAAGCTAAATCCTACTTGGTAATGGTGTATGATATGCTTTATATGATACTAAGTTTGGTTTTCAAGTATTTGTTGAGAAATGTTTGCATCTGTTTCCAAAGAATGTTGGTTTCTATTTTTTTCTTGTGATGTCTTTTTTTGGTTTTGCTACAAGGTTAATATTGGTCTGAGAAAATGATTCAGAAAGCATTTCTTTTTCTAATTTTGGCAGAATTTGTGAAAAATTAGTGTTAATAATTCTTTAAATGTTTGGTAGAATTCAGCAGTGGAGACATCAATACCTGAACTTTGTGTATGTGTGTGTAGTTTTTAATTACTAATTCTTTTATTTTTTATTTTAAATTTTAATTAGTTTTTAACAGATTTAGTGTAAATTGTAGATGCAATTCTACGAACATTATGATATGCCTTTCCTTCCTCCTTCTTTCCTTTCTTCCTTCCCCTTCTCTCCCTCTTACCCTCTCTCCTTCTCCCTTTATTTTTATATTTTTTTGAGATAGCATATTTTAAAATTACATTATAGTAAAAAGGCTTAATACCTCACCAAATTTAACAGGTAAAAAGCAAAAACACCCTAGTATAATGGGAATATAGACAATGGCTATAAACAATAATTGAATGGAAAAATGACCATTTCACTCATATATAGTAAATTTTAAAGTAATCAGAGATCATTCAAA